GTCACACCAGTTTGACACAACCATGTGATAGCTGTCAGATGTTGGTGCGACAGCCTGACAGCTGTCCGACGCACGAGCCCGGCTGCACACCAGTGGGGTCTCTGACGCACACACACACACACACACCAAGACCGACAGTCCTTCCTTCCTTTCGCACACTGGCAACAAAACATTGGTATTGCTAAAAATCGCCACACTGGACCCTGTCGTTGTTCGTGTAGCGGTAGATGTTCACGGAGTCGTGAGAGACCTAGGGTTCCGCCCGCACACGCGCAGGGCGCGAGCGTGGAGCGAGCCGCGGAGGGAGAGAGAGGGAGAGGGAGGAGCGGAACGGGTTTCTTCCTCGCGCGGCAAGAGGGAGGCGAGACAGGGAGAGGCAGAGGGAGGGAGAGGGAGGGGGAGGAGCAGGAGGAATAAGGGACAGGGCGGAGTCAGAGAGGTAGAGGCCAGGGGTGGAGAGAGAGGGGCGTGGGAGTCGGAGAGAGGGAGGACGCAAGAGCCGTGAACGCAGCGACCTCCACGCCAGCAGAAGAACAGCGGGCGGCGCCGGGAGAGGCAAACATCGTCGCGCTGCACTCTCTCTCTCGCACGAACGATGCCTCGATTGGCCGCGGTGCGCCACCGCCCCTGTCCCCCGCGCGCCGGCCGCCGCCGCAGCCTGCCATCCGTTCTCACACGGCGCGTCGGCAATGCTCACGTGCCCCTGCGCCGCCGGCCCTCAGCGCGCTCTGGCGCTGATCGCATCGGCGCAAGCCTTCTACCTGCCTGGGGTGGCGCCGCGCGACTACATGGACTCGGACAAGGTTGAGATCCGCGTGCACAAGCTATCGAGCCCGCGCACCCACCTACCCTTCGACTACTACTCCCTCCCCTTCTGCCGGCCCGACAACCTAGTCAAGCAGGCAGAGAACCTGGGCGAGGTGCTGCACGGCGCCGTGATCCAGAATTCGCCGTACGAGGTCTTCATGGGCCGCTCCGAGTTCCGGATCGCCTGCCGCGTCGAGCTCACCAAGGCGCAGAAGATCACCCTCTCGCAGCGCGTGCGGCAGGACTACCGCGTCCACCTGATCATGGACAACCTGCCGGCGGCGACGAAGATGATCGCCGAGATGGCGGACGGGACGAAGAAGGACATGTACGACCGTGGCTTCCGGCTCGGCTTCCTCGGCTCCAAGGACATCCCCGGCACCGAGCCCACCAAGCCTTACGTCAACAACCATCTCCGCTTCATCGTCAAGTACCACCGCTCGGACACCTTTCCGGGCAGCAGGATCGTGGGGTTCGAGGTCGAGGCGTACTCGGTGCGCACCGCGCGAGGGGGAGGCTGCGGGGAGGCGCGCGCCGCCGCCGAGCGAGCGACCCTCCCTCCCGCAGGTCAAGCACACCTACGAAGGCCAGTGGGACGAAAAGTCGCCAAAGCTGACGTCGGTGCCGCTCCGTCCCGACCTCGCTCCGATGCTCGCGTGGTCGAACGAGATCGTGTACACGTACGACGTGGTGTGGGAGCACTCGCCGATCGCGTGGGCGAGCCGCTGGGACCTCTACCTCTACATGGGCGACGACCAGGTCCACTGGTTCTCCATCCTGAACTCGCTCGTGATAGTGCTGCTGCTGTCGGGCATCGTCGCGATGATTATGGTGCGGACGCTGCGGCGGGACCTGGCGGAGTACAACTCGGTGGAGGAGAAGGAGGAGCTGCTCGAGGAGTCGGGCTGGAAGCTCGTGCACGCCGACGTCCTCCGCCCGCCGCCGCTCGCCGCCTGGCTCGCGACCACGATCGGGACGGGCATGCAGGTGCTCTGCATGTCCTTCATCTCGATCGCGTGCGCGATGCTCGGCTTCCTCTCGCCCGCGAACCGCGGATCGATGCTGACCGTCTCGCTGCTGCTCTTCGCCCTGATGGGCGTCGCCGCCGGCTACTGCGCCGCCCTCGCCTACAAGGCTTTCAAGGGCGCGCAGTGGAAGTCGCTCACGCTGCTCACCGCCTTCCTCTTCCCCGGCATCGTGCTCGGAGTCATGTTCGTCCTCAACTTCTTCATCTGGGGACAGCACTCCTCCGGCGCCGTCCCCTTCGGAACCATGTTTGCCGTGCTGTGCATATGGCGCCGCACGCCCCGCCGCCGCCTTCTTCGCCCTCGCCGCCCGCCCCGCCCCCGCCCTCGCCCCGACCCCGCCCGGCGGCCGCACGCGCAGGTTCCTCATCTCCTTCCCTCTCGTCTGGGTGGGCGTCTGGCTCGGCTACCGCGGCACGCTCAAGGACCCGCCCGTCAAGACCAACATGGTCCCGCGCGTCATCCCCTCCCAGGCCTGGTACCTCCACCCCCTCTTCACGATGCTCATCGGCGGCATCCTGCCGTTTGGCGCCGTCTTCATCGAGCTCTACTTCATCATGTCCTCCATCTGGCTGCAGCGCTTCTACTACGTGTTTGGCTTCCTGGCGCTCGTGCTGCTCATCCTCATCATCACCTGTGCCGAGATGGCCATCGTGCTCTGCTACTTCCAGCTCTGCAACGAAAACTACCTCTGGCAGTGGCGCTCCTTCCTCAACACGGGCTCCGCCGGCCTCTTCCTCTTCGGCTACTCGTTTGTCTACTTCTCGTCGACGCTCGAAATCATGGGCTTCGTCTCGACGATGCTCTACTTTTCGTACATGTTCATCTGCTCGCTCCTCTTTGGGGTCACCACGGGCACCATCGGCTTCGTCGCCTCGTGGTGGTTTGTGCTCCAGATTTACGGCGCTGTCAAGGTGGATTAAGACATGGAGGGCGAGTGCCGCTCCTCCTCTACGCGAGCTGTGCGAGCTGTGGGGCGCGTAGAGGAGGAGCGCGGTGCGTTGGGGAGGCCGCCGCGCCGCGCACCAGGGCGCGGGGGGTATGTGCGGCGTACGGTACACCTAGGAGAGACCTAGACCTGTGAGAGCGCGCGGCGCGCGAGCGCAGCAGAGAGACGAGAGTGAGAGACACGCGTATAGCGGCGCGAAGAAAGAGCACGTGTGGTCTTGTGTGATTGACAGCTGCTTTCCCCGCGAAACCGGTCGCCTGGTTTTTTGACATGGCCGCACCCTGTACATAACTAGAGCGGCGCGCGTTGACACATACGAACACAAGAGTCACGTTCCTCTCCGCGGCCCACCGCCTCCCCCGCGCCCGCGGCTCGTTCGCCTCGTCTGGGCGCGGAGGGCGCGGCGGGCGAGCAGGCGCGGAGGGGGCGTGAGCGGGGAGCGGTAGATCGAGCCCCCTCCCCTCCCCTCAGGCCAGGTACTTGTACAGATTGGGGTTGGAGGGATCGCGCTCCAGGTACTCGCGGTGGATGAGGTCCTCGATGCGCTTCCTGCGGGGGCGAGGAGGCGCGGCGCTCGGGGCGGGCGGCGCGACGGCGGGCGGGCCGCGCGGAGGGGGCGGCGCACTTGATCTGCTTCGGGTCGGGCTTGAAGTGGCGCATCAGCTGGGTCGAAGCCTCGAGCACGAGCTTCTGGTGGTCGAGCGACTGCGGCGGGCGGCGGCGAGAGGGGGGGTGGGCACGGCGGCGGCGCGAGGGGCGGGCGGAAAGGGTGGTGGAGCACCTTGCGCGTCTTCATGATGCGCACAATCGCCGCCTCGATGGCATGCTTGCGGTCCTCGTCCACGGTGGCTCGCGTCGCGTCCTTCTCCTCCTGCGTGATCTTGGCGGCGATCATCGGCACCTTGATCCGCCGCGCGCGGTCAGAGAAGGCAGCGTTGTAGGTGATTTTGTCGGTCGGCGCGACCTCCTTGCCGGCCGGATCCTTGGTCAGGATCTTGTACTTGCCGACGCAGAGCGAGAGCACGTAGCGCTTGAGCTCCTCCGCGGGCAGGTTGAGGTGGCCCTGGATGTCGGAGAAGGTCATCGAGTCCGCCTCGTTGAAGAGCAGCAGGATGCAGGCCTGGTAGGTGGAGACGAGCAGGTCGTGCTCCTTGCTCTTCCCCGAGGGCGTGAACTTGCCCACCACGGTCGCCGAGCCCAGCGAGTGCACCCACCGCAGCCGGCGGTGCGAGGTGCGCAAGTCGTAAAAGGCCTTGAAGGTCTCGATGCACTGCAGCATCTCCTTTGGCAGGTTGAGCTCGTCCGACTTGTACGTGGGCCAGAAGCCGGTGGTGAGCACCTGCACCGTCAGGTCGGTGTCGAGCTCGAGCTCCTTGTCCTTGACGTGCTCGGCGAAGGCGGACTGGATGTCCTGCGACAGGTTCATGTCGGTCACCATGCCCTCCAGCTTCGAGGTGAACTGCGCGCCGCACCGCAGCTTGAGCTTGGCGATCATCGAGCGCTCCGCGTCGTCGCTCGACGAGCGCGCCAGCAGCAGCCGCTTCGCGAGCTGCTTCTTGTAGAACTCGGCGAAGATGTCCTTGTCGGACAGGTAGCCAAAGAGCCGCACCACCTTCTCCAGCTTGTCCTCGAGCGCCTCGTCCGAGAGCCGCTCGCCCGACTTTTTGAGCAGGTTGTCGCAAAAGTTGGAGAGCAGCTCTGCGGTGGCGCTCTTGCCGATGTCCTTGTTGACGAAGACCTCGAAGGCCTCCTTCATCGCCTTGTGGAAGATGTTGTGCCCCTGGAAGCACCCCTTCTCGGGCCCCGACCCCACCAGCTCGGTGTACTTGTCGTGGATGTCGAGCAGCTCCTGCACGTACGGCATCAGGTCGCCCTCGGCGTTGACCGACTGCTTCTTGACGAGCGCGAGGCCCACGTCGGTGATGTGCTTGCGCACGATGTTTGCGATCGGCGGCAGCCCGGTGGGGATGCGCGAGAAGAGGCGGAACATCCGCGACAGGTCCTCCGTCTTGTTGTCGAGCAGCAGCTTCTCGCAGCCGGAGTGCTCCTTCTCGAGCAGCTGCTGCTCCGGGTTCTGCAGCAGCTGCTCCTCGCACACCTGGAGCGGGCGGGCGGGGCGGCGGTGGCGCGCGGCGCGCGGCGCGCGGCGCACGGACGGCGCGGGGAGGGGCGACCGCGGTCCGAGGAGGGGGCTCCCGCCCGCGGGGGACGTGCGATGGGTGCGGGCGTGTCTGGTGGCGCGGTCTGGCCACACCTTGAGCAGCTTCTCCTCGGTCGAGGAGTGCAGGTAGTTGGCCACGCGGTCCTGCTCCTGCTTGAGCCGGTCCTCGGCCTTGCGCATGTACTCCGGAAAGGAGTCGTTCCCCGCCCACTTTGCCGACTCGCGCGAGTAGTAGTCCGCGGTCGTCGAGAGGAGCATCTCCTCAAAGTCGGTCGCGTACGTCTCGAGCGAGGCGCGCGAGCCGCCCATCTCGACGAAGATGTCGATGACCGACTTGATGAGCTGCTTGTCCACCTGCTCGCACTCGCGCTCGCGCCGCACCAGCTCCAGGATCGCCGTCCGCACCTCTCGCTTCACCGCGTTGAAGACGATCTCGAGGAACTTTTGCGACCCTACCTCTGCCAGCTCAGGCAGCGACAGCCGCTTCACGTAGAAGCGGTCCTGCGCGCGCGGCGGAGGGCGCGCGGCTCGGCCCGTGCGCCGCCGCCGCACGGGGCGAGCGCGGCGGCGAAGGGAGCGGTGGGGCGCGCACCAAGTACTTGAAGACGTGCGAGAGGAAGCGGATGATCGTCTTGTGGTTCTCCCAGCGCCGCACCAGCTCCTGCGCAACCCGCGGCACAAGCGCTCGGCGCGACGCAGCGAGAGAGCGGCGCGCGCGAATGCGCGTCACGGGAAGCGAGGGCCGGCGGGGTGCGCGGCGTCGCACCCGCAGCATCGCCTCGTCATGCTTCTCCTTGATGCGCGGCAGGATGCGCGCAGTCAAGTAGTCGATGACAGCCTCGCAATAGTTGTTGTACAGCGGCTCGCTCCAGTTGTTTGGCGGCTTCTGCGTGCACATGGTGTAGACCGTCCTGCGCACAGCCGAGGCCGGGGCGAAGCTCGAGCGCGCGAACCGCGCCGCGCGCTGCTGAGGCGGCGCAGGGCGCAGAGGCGGGAGCGCGCACGTGTACAGCTGCGAGTACTCGTCGGTGCTTATCCGGTGCTTGTACACGCCGCCCGACGCATCCTCGAGAATCTCCTCGATCTTGAGCACGCCGCCCGTCTTCAGCTTGTTCCAGCCATCCTCGAGCTGTATGACCTGAGCATTCATGATGTGCAGCGCCTGCGGCGCGGGGAGCGGCGGGCGCGGGCCGGGTCGGAGGCCGAACGGAGCGACGCGGGGCGCTGCGCAGCGAGACGCTTCGAGGCGGCGAGCAGGAGAGAGCAGCGAGGCGCCGCACGGCAAGGCGCTGAGCTGGTACCTGGCTGGCGGCGCCCGCTCTTCTCTGGCGCCCTGGTCTCTGCCGCTGCCGCTCTTGCGCAAAAGAAATGAGGAGGCGTTGGTGCCGACCCAGTTCGCGGTCCTCTCTGCTCTGTCCCCGCGGCACGCACAGAAGGTGCGGGCAGGCAGGGGCCAGCCGAACTCGAAGTGCTCCACGGGGCAACCTAGGGGCAACGCGAGGCGCGAGCCCCATCTGCGATCTGGAGCGAGCCAGAGCTCCGCCTTGAGAGCTGCGCCTGCGGCTCGTTCATACAGGTCACAAAGAGAGAAGAGAGAGGTGGATGGATGGATGGGGAGGAAGACGCTGCCCCAGCAGTCTCACGGTCACACAACCATGTGATAGCTGTCAGATGTTGGTCCGACAGCCTGACAGCTGTCCGACGCACGAGCCCGGCTGCACACCAGTGGGGTAGACGGACATCCCAAGCTAGGTATGTTAAAGAAAGAAAGAAAGAAAACACACAACCCAAGGGAGGGATGGGAGAACGGCACGCCGCCACCACACAGGGATTTTAAGGAGAGGAGTGTGGTGCGCTAGCCGTCGCCCACCCTGGGGAGTCTGCCTCTTCGTATCTCTTTTCGCAGTCTCTCGCCGCTTCTCGCTGCAACCTTCATGCCACCTCGCGGCCGTCCCACTCTCGTCGGTCTCTCCCTTGTCACTTCCTCCTCTGTCGCGTCGTTCTCTTCTAAGTATGTTGTTGGCAAGCGGAGCGCGCGATTTTTCTTCAGCTCTTCTTCCGTTCGCTTCTCGCAGTCGATCGCAGACGCGAGCGGCGACGACCTGGGCGAGGGCGAAAAGCAAATCAATACCGCGCGCACAGCCCAGGTATTCCCAGACAGTCTGAATATGGTGGAATTGCTCAGCGTGCCAAGCACCTTTGCGGGGCACACGCGCTCGGAGCAGTGGCAGTTCTTCCTGCACTCGGTGTGGATGGTTGTGCCGGCGCTCTTGGTTCTCTTTCCTGCGGCGCTGAGCTGGCATCCACGTGGGATCGTGCTGGCTTCGCCGTGGGCTTCCCTCCTCAGCCACGTCGCCTCTCTGGCTCACTGGAGCGACTACAAGCCCGGAGGGACGGTGCAGAAGGTGGACGTCGCGCTCGCGCTGGCCGTGATGCTCACAGCCTTCTCGGACGGGTGGGCGGTGCTCGGTCTGGTGGCGCTTCCTCTGGGCGAACGTCGATTCCTCTGGGCGATGAGCGCGGCTCTCGCCCTGCTCGCGGCGCTTGACGTGAGGCACAGGCAGCTGTTTGGCACCACGCACGTCGCCGGCACGGTGATCCACCACACCCTCCGCCACGTCGGATACTACTACGTGCTGTTCGTCTGTGGCGAGCCCACGGGCGGCCCTCAGGCGAGGGCCCTGCTGCTGGCGGGCCCGATAGCGCACGTTGTGCTCTGCGCAGCAAGCGGCTCCCGCTGGCTGCGCCTCGACGAGCGCTCGGCGCCAGCCTCCGTTGGCGAGTGCGCCGCCGGGCTGGCGCTCTCGTACGGCGCGGTGGCGACGACGCTGAGCCTCACCAGGACAATCCGATAACTGTTGAGTACCACGCAGGCAGTTTTTTTCTGCCCTGTAGTCTCTCTCTTGTACACTGTCGCGGCCTAACGAGTCTCTCTGAGCAGATTAGTCAGATCACGATCCTGGCGTGTACACAATTCACTGGCGGATCCGCTCCCTTCGCACGCACCGCACCTGACCCTCCTCTTTGAGGACTCCTCACCTTCCGGACCCCCACCAGCCCAATAAAAAAGAAACCGTTCGCGGCGCCGGCCAACGCGTCTCTAGCCAGCGCTCACATGCCAAAAGACACCTCGCAGCGCGCGAGACGTGACCGAAGCGGCACGCCTCGGCGCCGCGAGAGCAGCCGGTCGACGTCGGCACCAAGCGCGCGGCCGCCGGGCGCCTCCGAACCGACAGGGGCGCCGCGGCAGTAGAGAGCACTCCATCGCCATACCGTTTTTATGGCGGTATGGCCAAAAAAGAAAACTCACCCGCAACAGCGTGGCCGCAGGCAGCGGTAGCGGCGACCACCGCTGGACGAACAGCGTGGCCGCTGCAGCGGTGGCGGCGGCGGCGGCACCACACCGCGGCGCGGCACACCTCGCTCCCATCATCATGATCTCGAAGGAGAGCGGGCGCTGCAGCTCGGGCGGGACCTTGCTCTGTGACGCCGCTCTCGCCGCCTCGTCCCGCCTCAACGAGGGCAACACCTACCCTGAGACTGTCCCTGCTTCGGCCGCTGGCCAGCCTTTGCTCGACTTCCTCGTCGACCGCTACGCCCACTCGACTCGCGAGGCGTGGACGTCCCACTGCAGAGCCGGCCGCCTTCGGCTCAACGGCACGCCTGCCACGGCCGACTGCCTGCTCCGCGAGGGCCAGCGGCTCGAGTACCACCGACCTCCTTGGCGCGAGCCGGCGGCGCCACGGTGGCTTTGGACGCTCTTCGCAGACGAGCACGCCGTGGTGCTCTGCAAGCCGAGCGGCCTTCCCACGCTGCCGTCGGAGCTCTACCACGACAGCACGGTGCTCTCTCTGCTGCGGTGCGGCGGCGAGCCAGTCCCAAGCCCCGTCCACCGGCTCGGCGTCGGCACCTCGGGCCTGCTACTCTGCGCGGCGTCTGCTCTCGGGCGGCGCGCCCTCTCCGTCGCCCTGCAGGAGCGACGCGTGTCGAAGACGTACCGCGCTCTCGTGCAGGGCCTGGTCGCGGGCGAGACGCTCGACATCGACTGCCCGATCGGGCCGGTGCCGCACGCGGCCGCCTTTGGCGGATCGTGCGGCGAGGTTTGCGCGGCCCGGCCAGAGGGCGGCGCCGGGTGCAAGGCGGCGCGCTCGCACCTCCGCGTCGTGCGGCGCGATGCGTCTGCGGCGGGCGGCGCTGGCGCGACGCTCGTTGAGGTGCGGATACCGACTGGCCGGCCGCACCAGATCCGAATCCACACCGCGTACGCAGGCCACCCGCTGGTTGGGGACCCGCTCTACTGTCGCGGCGGGCTGCCGCGGGGAGGGGGAGGCGGAGGCGGAGGAGGCGGAGGAGGAGGCAGAGGAGGAGGCGAGGGGAGGGAGGAGGAGTGTGTGGGTGGGTCGCGCGGCGGTGCGGTGCCGCGCCCGCCGCTGCCGCGGGATACTGGCTACCTGCTGCACGCGTGGCGGCTCGAGTTCCCGCACCCTTCCACCGGCGATACCGTCATGCTCGTCGCGCCTCCGCCTGCTCCGCTCTGTGACGCCGGCGAGGAGGCACTGGAGGAGGCGGCGGCGCGTGCGCTGGAGGCCGACCTGATCTACCGCGGAGAGGACGGCGAGGTGGCGGCGTGGAGGAGAGCCAGTGGCGGTGGCGGTGGCGGTGGCGAGAGTGAGGTGGCTGGGCGAGGTCGCCCGAGGAGAGTCAAAGGGAAGGGCAGCCGCTCCGAGGCAGAGATTGCAGCGGTGCGCGCGGAGAGGGCGGTCAAGCGTCTCACAGCGGCGGTGGTGACGTGAAATATCACGTAATATCCGTCCATATGAGCACCTTTTTTTCGCGGCCCCTGGTAGCAGCCTGGTTTTGTGTTTGTAAATTACAAGCGCGCCTCCGCTAATTTGCCCACCGCGGGGCGTAAGAATACTCGTGAGCGCGCTCGTTGCCCCGAGAGGCTGCGCACATGCGACCCCCAATCGTCAGCGCGACACGGTGTGTGTGTGCTGTGGTGTGTCGTGTGTGGCATCGTCGCGTGGTGAGAGAGAGACGCGCGCGCGTCGTGCCCTCATTCGTCCACTGCGCCTGTCGCGCGCGCGGGTTCACGGTCTGCGGCGTCTCTCTCCATCTTCGGCCCGATCTACGGCGCGAAGCCCTCGACCTCGAGCAGCCCGAGCACGAGCGCGACGCCGTAGCCGGTGGCGCGGTCGGCGTGGAAGGCCGGCCCCGCGCAGTCGATGTGGAGCCACGCGCCTTCAAAGTCGGGGTGCAAGTTCTCCCCGATGAAGTTGCCAGCGCACGAGACCTGCGCGTTGCCCCGGTCCTTGACCGAATTCTTGCAGTCCGCGACCTTGGAGGCGAACTCAGCGCGGTGGAACTCCGGCGCGTAAGGAACCTGCTTGCACACGCGAGGGCGTGAGGCGCGCTTCACCGGCTGGCCTTGCTCCGCTCTTGAGGGGGAGGGCGGTGCCGGGTGGACGAGGTCGCCGGTGCGCCTCCCCGCCGCGACGGCGGCGCGCTCGGTCTCCTCGTCGTTCGTGAAGACGGCGGCGAAGTGCTTCCCCGTCGCGACCATCTGCGCACCGGTGAGCGTCGCCATGTCGACGACGAGGTCGGGCGAGCCTCCGCCCGGCAGCAGGCTGGGCGAGGCGGTGACGTGCGCGACGCCGTCCGAGAGGACGAGCCTGCCCTCGGCGTCCGTGTTGTTGATCTCGCACGTCTTGCCAGAGAAGAAGCAGAGCACGTCGTCGTTGCGGAAGGCCGTCGGCCCAATCGCGTTCTCAGCGAGGCAGAGGGCGCAGTGCAGCGCCGTGCCTCCGGTGCCGATGGAGACCGCCGCCTCAAAGGCGCCGAGCAGCCCGGCGGCGCCTGCAGCAGGGCTCCGGCAAGGCTCAAGGGAGGCGCCGCCTCAGCCCGGCAGCAGCGGCGCGGCGCGCCTCCCATGTCGGCCTTCATGCCGCACATGCCCTCCTTTGGCTTGAGGGCGAGCCCTCCCGTGTCGTACACAATCCCCTTGCCGACCAGGCAAACCTTCTTGCTCGCACCGTCCGGCACGTGCGAGAGGACGCACAGCGCCGGCGGCTCGGTCGCAGCCTTCCCGACGCCGTACAGTCCGCCGTAGCCGCGCTCGCGCAGCTCGTCGCCAGAGATGACCTCGACGAGCACCTCGTTGACGCATCAGTTAACGAGTCAATACACTCCTCAGCTCGTCGCCCAGAGAGGGCCCGGACGAGGTCACCTCGCGGCCCTGCTCGCGCAGCCGCGCCGCCACCGCCCCCGCCTCCTGCACGAAGGCCGTCGTCGTGAGCTGCTCGGGAGGCGCGTCGACCAGCCGTGCCGCCAGCCGCACGCCCGCCGCCGCTTTCGCGCAAGGCCCGTAGACGCTCCCGGCGCCGTCGGAGATGGCGGCAGAGCGGGTGGCGAAGCCGACCCGCACGCACCCGCGCGGCTCGGCCGGCTGGCGCAGCTTCTTCTGCGAGTAGAGCGGGAAGGCGCGAGCGACAGCGCAGGCTGCGCCGGCCGCGTGCGCCGGCTCCTCGAGGACGAGGAGGACGGCGGCACCGCCGCCCTCCTTGGCGGCGTCGGTCGCGGCGGGGGCGACGAGCGAGGTGATCGCGTGCGGGCGAATCGGAGAATTGTGCCGCGAGCAGTGCTCGGGCAGCACGGCGGCGACCAGCGTCTTGGCCTCGCCGTCTGCAGCGGTGTACATCGTGCTTGCGGAGCCGCCCGCGTCACCGGGCTTGACTTTACCCACAAGCGCCTTCCAGAGATCCACGGGCACACCGGCAGGAAGGAGCGTCGGCGACAGCTCGAGAAGCGCAGTTTGCCGCCCAACAACCACCGTCGAGGCCGCTTTGCCCAGTGTTGAGGCGGGAGACTCGAAGAGGAGCTCGGGCGCGGAGCTGGTGGCGTCGGCCATGGTTGCAGCACCGTTGCGGGCCGTCATTAGCGGGGCGATGCGGAGGGCGCACGCCGACTGAGCGAGGAGGCCGAGGGCAAGAGGGCGAGCCCAAGAAGGACAACCAAAAGTGAGCATCGGCGCGAAAAAAACATTCTTCGTTCGACTCGAGGGGTGGGCCGCCGTTTGCCGTTCGTAGGTAGGGCGAGCGGCCCTTTGGTCCGCGCGCGACGCGCGCGATGTATTTTTGATCTTGTTCCTTTCTCCACCGTCGCCGCCGTCGCCCGGCACGCCGCGGCCGTGGCCGCCGCCGTGCCGCCCGTGGCTCGTGCCGTACCGGAAGGGGGGGAAGGGGGGGGGATTTCAATGTTTCCCTCCGTCGGCGATAACCTCGGCACACTCTCCGAATGGCCCTGCCTGCACCGTCGTACGTACGACTTAGTGTTCTCGTTGTCTCGTGATGCTACTATCGGCCTCCGTCAAACAGCGTCGAGCTAAGCCGAAGAAGCATAAGGATGAGCCGTGTCGCCGCGCACCTACACGGCGCTTGGCGAAGCCAAAATCTGACTTCGCGCTACAAACGCCGCCGCCGCAAAATCTGCTGCAGCAAAAGCTCGCCTCGATCACGTGCGTGCTGCTTGCCATCTCTCAACTGACGGCACTGATACTACAACCGACCCCGCTCAAGTCACAAGAACCAGACCCTGTGTGGGTCCAAGTCACGCCTCTCCTGTCGCTAGTGGTCGCTGTACACGTCGCGCTCTTTTTTTCGGGCGTGGAGTTTGTTCGTTTCGGTCTCCAAATCGAGGCGTAGAGTTCCTTCAAAGCGAGCACTTTGTCGGTGTCGGCGGGCTGACGGCGGCCGCCGGAATCGCGATTCGCTCTGCCAGCAGCCAGCAGCCTCGTGTCGCCGTCTCTCGTTGGCGCAGCAGCAGCGAGATAGGGCTAGCAGTAGGCAGCTAGCTTCTGAGGAGGGCGTCCATAGACACCTTGATCCTTGAGCACTTAAGCACTGGATAGGGTCGATTCCGCATGGTACGGGACCCCTCGATGGCCAGGGCCACGAGGGTGAACGTAGCTCCTCACAGACGTCTCCGTCGACTTGGAGTCCAATGCGCACCCTCACAGTGTCGAGACTCTCGGGCGGGCAAACCCTCGTACTGGATGTTCACTTCTTCGATGAAGGACGAGGGAGGGGGAGGAGTCGACATGCTAATGCGCTGTCTCGAGACTACTGCGGCGAGCGTGCAGCAGCGCTCGGCAAATGTCTGTCTGTTAGTGTGTGACAAGGGGGTCAAGGCGCATATGCGCAAACAAGAAAAACGAGTTGTTTCAAGCAAGCCGAGCACCACCTCTCAACGCGTATTCCTTCAAAGTGCTCGCTTCATCTGTGTGCTTAGGCAATACCCACACTGTGGAGAAAGACAAAGGGTGAGAGCGCGCGAGCCGGGAGAGTCGCATCGCTCGTGCGTCGTCGGGGACCAAGAGTGACCAGTGAGAAGAGAGGGAGACGACGATGGGCCAAGAGGGAGAGGAGTTCCTGGCGCCCTCCCCGGCCCGGCCGGGTGTGCGCGATCGCTCAAGCCGCCCCGTGCTGCGCCCACAGCCAGCGGCTCGACTCGTGGCTCGGGATGTGCCACGTGCTCGAGGCTGGCTCGAACTGCATGATGGACGAGAAGATTCGCGGAAACTCGAGAGTCGGCTCCTGCTGCCACTCGCGGAAGCAGAAGCGCACCACGTGCCGGTCGCGCCAGCGCGAGAAGGAGCGCGGCCGCAACATCCCGAACGAGTGGTCCCGCATCTGGTCGTTGGACACGACGCAGCAGCCGTCGCCCGAGGCCATGGCCGCGTACAGCCAGTAGAGGTCGTCGTTTTGCTTGCGCGGAGTGGCGAGGAGGACGCCCTCCTCGCTCCAGCGGGCGAGCAGCTTCGCCTCCTCGGATCCGGCCGGCCGGCCCGTCGTGTGCTTCTCGTGCAGCACGAGCAGCACTCGCGGCGGAGGCCCCTCCCGCCGGATGCGCTGGATCGCGCGCAGCAGCCGGTCCACCTGCTGCAGGTCGAGGAGCTCCTCGCGATGCGCCTCCGCCTTGCGCCTAGTGGACGTGTCTCGGACGCGTCTGGAGGTGCCCTCGAGCGAGACGGCACCTCAACCTCTGCCCCGGCGCCGCCGCTCCGCCTCGCCGACGGAGGAAGAGACGGAGGAAGAGGCCGCGTCGGAGGCGCCTGCCGAGACGGGCCCTGCTGCCGCGGCGCGCGCCTGCCGCCGCACGCGGCTCACCTCCTTGCCCTGGCCGAAGAAGCCGATGTTTGCCGCGTCGAGCACAAAGTCCCACGGGCCCCTCTCCCGCACCCTCTCCCGCACCCACTCCGTGAAGCGCCCAAAGTCGCGCCCGCCACTCGCGAGCCGCTTGATGCCCTCGCACAGCGCCGCCCGCTCGTCAGCGTCGACCGCAACCTGCTGCAGGACGAGCCCGGACGTGGAGCAGCGGCCAGAGCCGTCCACCTCGGTCAGAGCAGCCCGCCACCCCCACGGCCGGCTGGGCGCACGCGCGCCGGCATCCGATGCGGTCGGCGGTGCGACCCCCGCCCCTCCTCCGCCCGGCTCGGCGTCTGGCCCGTCCTGCGGCAAGGGACGTGTCCTGGACGTGTCTGGCCCGTCCTGCGGCGCTGCGTCTCCGGCCGCGCCGGCCGAGGCCGCCGTGCCGGCCGTGCCGGCTGCAGCTGCCGCGCCCTCTCCGCCGGGCGTGGCGGCCGCGCCGATGTCGAAGCAGTGCGCCATGGCGTCGAGGTGCTCGTCCGACATACTCGACACCTCTGTCGCCATCCAGCCGAGCAGCTCGCCTGCGGGACGTGTCGCGGACGTGTCGCGGACGTGTCGCGGACGTGTCGCCGTCCGGCCAGGCCAGCTCGCCGAGCGCGTCTAGGAGGCGTCTGGGAGGCTCGGAAGAGTCTGGGGAAGTGTCTGGGGAAGTGTCTGGGGAAGTGTCTGGGGAAGTGTCTGGGGAAGTGTCTGGGAGCGGCTCGCCGAGCGCGTCGCCGTCTGCTCGGCGCGCGTGCAGCCGGGCGAGCATGATGAACTCGGCGTCGCCCGGCGCGAGGCCGGCGGCGCGCATCTGCTCGCACGTCGAGGCGGCGAGCGGCGCGTCCGCCCGGTCCGCGGCCGCCGCGATCAGCGGCGAGAAGGAGCGGAGCCGCACGCGGTCGGCGCAGGAGCCCTGCAGCATGTCGGTGAGGAGCGCCTGAGCCCGCGCCACGTCGCCGTGCGCGCACATGAGGCGGATCATCCCCGACCAGCTGGGCTCGTGCAGCGGCGTCCCCGCCGCCCTCGCGGCCTCCCAGACCCGCGCCGCCAGCGCGACGTCCGGCGGAGTAGTGATGCCGCAGAGGTGGAGGAGCAGCGAGCAGTCCGCGTCGGAGGGCGCCGCGCCCGCCGCCTCCATCCGGCTGAAGACGCGGGCGGCGCCCGCGGCGTCCGACCTGCTCGCGCAGCGGCGCAGCTCCTTGCTGCTCTCCCTCCGGTCGAAGCGCGGCTCCGTCGGCGGAGGAGCCTGCGCCGCGGCGTCCGCGTCTGGCGGCGGCGGCGCCTCGGCTGGCGCTGGCTGTTCGGCGGCACCGCTGCCGTCGACGGGCGCGGAGGACGCGTCCGGTGCCGCGTCCGGTCCGGGCGCTGCCTCGTCGCGTTTCCGTTTGGCACCAGCCGCCTCGGCGACGCGTGCCCCGCCGGCCGCCGGCGGAGGCGGAGGTGGCAGCGTGACCAGCACGCCCAGCTGCCGCCTGCCACCCTCCCCGCTCTCCATCTTGGTGGCGCGCAGGCCCAGTCGCTCGGCGTAGCTGTAGATGCACGCGCGGATGTAGCTCGACTGGGCGGGCAGTGCAAGCTCCGTTGGCGTGCGGGCGGACGCCGGCCGCGCACTCGCCTTGCGGAACTTGCAGAGCGAGTCCCACAGCTTTCGCGTCTGCTTGTCTCGGGGAGGGTAGAGGCTGGTGGCAGCGGGCGCGTCCTGTGCGTGCGCGTCACTCGACATGGCCCTGCGATGATGAGACTGGGTCAAGGTCTGCAGCCCTCGTCGTGGCCGTGAACGAGGACAAGATTTTTTTCCGCCCCACCCCCCGGATACTTCCCTTCTTTTACACGTAGGCTGGTGAGTACAGACCACGCCTGTGCTATTCACAGCACGCGGGTTTACCTAGGCTTATTTAGACAACCGCCGTGCAAAAAAAACGATGAAAGGCCGACTTACTTGGCTCTTTGCAAAGGTGTGTGCGGTCGGAATTCATTCCTGTTCGCTTCAGATGCATACGTCGCTTTTCGTCGGAGAAGCCCGGGATGTTCTTGACGACCTTGGCAATGATCTGTAGCAGTCGTGGGAGATAATGAGTGGGAGGTCCGCCGATGGCTGCCAGTAGCGGGTGTTGGGGAGAGGTCCGGCCAGGGGTGGAGACTATGTCGCGCCTTGACGCAATGGCCGCTTGAAAGAGGCCAGAACAGCGCGGGCACTGATAGGCGGTCTCGCATAGCGTGCCGACAGCACTGACGCGGAGCTGGTGGTGGCAATGGGGCACCCGACAACCGCACCTGCTGCAGCACAAACGCAGGGGGCGCACAAAGTCCACACAACTCCGCATGCGTTGGTGGTTGAACCGACCGCATTGCTGCACTCGCCGAGAGGTGGGTACTTCCGCTTGCGGCTCTCGTTCGCGCCAAGCTCCTCCGCGAACATCGAAAGAGGCCGACACCGGGAATTGGGTGGAAATCGCACCCGGCACGTCCCGTCCCCCGGCTATTTTCGACTAAATTCAAGTTCGCAGTTAAGAAACACGAAAGGTGGAGGAGGGAGGGTGTGAGAGACAAGCTCAGGGAAGGTCTTACTACCTTACTTCACAGATTGATAAGAAACAAGAAGCTCACTCGATCAAGGGCTGCAGCTAGCGAAAAGACCCCCCCCGGTGCGACAGACAAGAAAAGAAAACCGCCAAGCTTCCCACCAAACGGCGGCGCCGCGGAGATCGCGTGCACAATGGTTGGGTAGTAGGGCTAGAGGGTCGCTCTACACTTAGCCTCTGCAGCGAGCGAGCGCTCAACTTAGCCCCCGCACCGAGCCGGGCTCAGACTTAGACGCTGTATGGTCGGGGGCCATGAACTTAGACGACATAAGGCCACTCCGGGCAAAACCCGGGTATACCTGAAAAGCCTCCAGGTTTACCCGAAATACCTGGACGCGTCCGACCAACGTATGCCGCGCACGACGCCATATCGCCTTCTCCCAGGGCCAGTGCGCTACTCACGGCGCGCAACGCCTGCTCAAGTACGCGCACCGTACCATGTGCTGCCGCTATGCGTGCCTTAAGGCGGCTGCGGCGAAGCGGCGGGCGCGGCATGCCGATGGCAGTGCGGACGATGCGGTTGCGATGTGTTCTGCTTCAAGATCGTGGCGGTGCTTGGCATGCACTTCTGCGATCCCAATCAGCTCATCGCAACGAAGCAGCGCAACAAGCTGGCTGCTGCCAACAAGGCCCTATGCTACCTCACGCGCGGATCGTTCAAAGAGGACCAGCACACACAGGCTTCACGCCTTCACCGTCACACGTTTGATTAAGCTTGAGGAGCTTCGTGTCATGTGAGAACTGTTTGGCTAGACGTCGCTCAAGAATGAAGGAGCAGCAACGAAAGTCGGAAGAGGAGGATGCTGAGGCGGCGATTGCTAAGCATGAAGAGGATCGATAGCCCGCCGCAGGCGAAGAAAATTTGGGGGCTGCGCCGTATCGTTGATCACGGTGGAGGAGCCTCCTGGCCCCAGGCCGTGCCACGGCCGACTTAGCCGATGTAAGAGGCTCCCGCTGATCTTAGACCGCGCAAGCACTCCAGCGTGGCTAGCCACACTTAGACCCGTTCAGCCTCGAGGCTCAGAACTTAGACTACTACCCAACCAGTGCGTGCACCGTTTTTTTTCTTTTTCTCGCCTTTGAGCAGGGGATCTTTTCCAACCTCTACACGAGCCGACGGACGTTGAGCCGCTGCCCTGCGCGCCCCTGCCCTTCGCCGCCCCACACCAACACACACCCCACACGCACATACCAAAATCGTTCTGCCCTCAAAAGAAAAGAAATGCCGGGCAGAAACAAATCCTGCGCGCCGTGGACGGCCTGTTCTCGTGGCACGCCGGCTGCCGCACTCACCGCGTCAGTCCCGCCCATCCCCTCCCTTTCTGCTGCCTCGTCCGCTGCTGCTGAGCACTGCTGCTGTCCGAACTGGTGGTGCTCAGAGAATGAGAGCCTGCTCGGCTAACCACCACTTGCTCAGCGCCGGCGCTTCTGTCCGGTAAGCCGCTTCTGCGCGCTGCACATGCTTTCCCACTTGGCCTTCACTTCGCGCTTCGTCCGGTGGGCGAAGTGGCGGCTGTGAATGCTGCTGTAGTCGATGCTGGCCGCCTGGAGGTACGGCTCGACAGCTTGTGCGAGCATGTTCTCCTCCTCCACGCTCCACGGCACATTCTGCCGTGGTCGAGACGGCCCCCCCGCTGCTGCTTTTGCCTCCGAGTTTCGCAGCCTCCGCCAGCGCGCTCCGCACGACCCCGCCGAGGTGCCTGGGAGCTGCCTCGACACTTCCTTCCACTTGTGTCCGAGCAGCTCGACCTGCCGGCGGAGCGCATCGTCGTCCGAGGGTGTCCACCTGCACTGCCCAGCGCCAGCAGCGGCCGTGCCCGCGGCGGCGGGTGGCGCTGGGGCAGCAGCAGCGACGCTCACGGCGGCGGCCCCGTCTCGGCTCGCGGGCGGCTTGGGCGGGGTCTCGTAGCACCACTCGTCGCCCTCGCGCTCGTCGACCCAGACCGACTCCCCGCCCTCGAAGAGAACGAGCATCCCCTCGGCGGCGGCAACCTTGGTGACGACGCCCACGTACGGCACCTGCCGCCGGCCGCCTCGTCCTCCTGACTCGTTGTACACGACGACCACGCGCGAGTTGACCTTTGCCTGCGCCGCCTTGAGCTGCGGCTCGCGCTGCGCGCTGCCCGAGGGCGCGGCTGGCTCAGGCGGCGCCACCATCCTTTGCGCCGCAAGCTCGCGGAGCAGCGAGGTTGCGGGGGCGCTGAGCCTCAGGCAGGCCGCGTGATTGCCCTCCACCACAGAGCGCACCACCGCCTCGAAGGTCGACGCCGCATCCTCCGTCCCAACGGCCTTGCCCGCCGCCCGCAAGAGCGTAACGACATGTGTCTTCACGGTTGTAGGCGAGTGTAGAAAGGCGGGCGCGAAGGAGGGGAGCAAGGACAAGACGGCGCGGTGCCGGTCCCCCAGTCGACTCCGTCCTGTGCGGGCCAGCGGACCCAGGACAGACGCGAGGTCGAGCAGCAGCCGCAGCCGCTCGGCGCCCTCCTCTCCCTCCTCCGCCGCGGCCTCCGCCGCGAGCACGAGCGGGTGGACGAGGGACTTGGCGCCGTTGGTGTTGTGCAGGTCCGCCACCGCCGGCGCGACCTTGTTGAGCAGCAGCTGCAGCAGCGCCTCGGCGCCCTCCTCTCCCTCCGCCGCTCCCTTCGCCGCCGACGCGAGCGAGCGGACGAGAATGCCACCACCATTCACCTGCGCAACGCTCTCCCGCCACTCTTCCTGCTGCAGCCGCGTGCGGAGCTCCGCGGCGAGTGCAGCCAGCGGCAGAAGCGCGGCGGCGCAGCGCTTTGGCGGCGCGTCGGCGGTGCTCGATGCGAGCTGATCGGCCAGCAGCACAGCGCGGCTGCATTGCGGCTCGAGCAGCTCGATCCTCGACCGCGGGTTCCCCAGGAGCAGCGCCGAGCTGGCGTGGCACCGCACCGCGTCGCTCGAGTTCTCGAGCCGGAGCAGCAGGGCCCGCGGGTCGCCGTCAGCGCTGCCACCGGCAGCGCTCGCCAGCCTGTCACGCGATCGGTTGAGCGCGCCTTCGGCGAGCTCCGCGACGAGCCCCTCGAGCCGCTCGAGCCGCTCGAGCGACAGCCGCGCCACGGGCTTGCTCACCTCCTCCTCCTCCTCCTCCTCCTCCCGCGCGGCGAGCATGAGCTGGTCGATGTCCGACGGCGCGAGCAACGAAAGCAACGCCGTGGCGGACGCCGTTGTCGCGCCGTCGGCGGCGCATCGCACGGCCAGCTGCGTCGGTGGCTCACCGAACGCAGCCGGCTGCCCGACGTGCAGGAACAGGCTCGCGACGGCGAGCCTGACGTTGCCGAGCACGGTCTTGCACGCACTTGCCGTGCCGAGGTGGCGCGACAAAAGGTCGTCGGTGAATCGCTTCTCAGCCTCCGCCATCGCCTCGCCAAGCTCCCCTCGGAGGACCGAAATCACCGACTCGCGTGGCGGCGACTGCGGCTCAGGCACACTCAGCCAGCGCCGCATCACCTCCTGCTCTCGCTCCTCGCCCCCGGCCGGGAGCGGCGCGAGCCAGCCAAGCTGCAACTCTCCACTCTCGACCGAGTCGCTGCGGTCGATCAGGCGCCGGCGAGCGGCGCCCGAGGAGGAGGCGTCGTTGGCGCAGACGGAGCCGCCCGCGGCCGGCGCAGGAACCGCGTCGACCGTGATGCAGCGGCCGAAGAACACGCACTTGCCGTCGTAGAGCCACTGCTCGAACGCGCCGAGGACAGCCTTGAACGACGCCTCCCACGTTTCGCTCTCCCGCCACGTCGCGGCCGGCTCGCAGCCCGGCACCTCGCCGCGGCGAAGCCACACGAGCAGCTCGAGCAGCGTCGCCTCGCCGCGAGGCAGCTTGTCGAGGAAGACGGAGTGCACCGTCTTCGCAGGCGGGCGCTGGTAGTCGGCGGGGTCGCTCTTGACGAGGAAAGGGAATTCGACGGACTCGCCGCGCTCGTCGACGCGCTCCGTGACGACAACCTCCAGCCGCGCAAAGGAGGTGGTCAGCAGCAGCGCCGCGCCGGCGGAGGTAGCCTGCGCCTTCTCAAGGAAGCGCACGACGAGCGCGGTGCGCTCCTCCGGGCGGAGGTAGCGGCCGCTCTGCTCGCGGAAACAGACGTACGCATGCAGCGCCGCGAACATGCCATACAGGCACTTCGGCAGCCGGATCCGGGCGAGCAGCGTGGCTTCGTCCAAGCACAGCGCCGTGCCCGCCCGCTTGGAGACAGTGCGCAGCACCTGCGGCGCGTCCCACGCGCCGCAGCAAGTGGAGGGCATGCGCTCCCGCATCTCCACCACCCACACGCGGAAGCGGCGAGACCAGGCGTGGCAGCCGCGCGGCATCGCGAACGAGGACTCGCACAGCTGCAGGAAGAGCCTCTCCGCCGCGTACCCTTCGGCGCGCGTCCGATGCGGCCCGTGTTGTGACTTGAGGCGCTCGAGCATGAGGCGGATGAGCCGGCCGTATTCGTCGTTCCGAAGCCGCGCGCTGTAGAAAGCTTGCAGGACGCCGATGGTCTCGGACACGCCCCCGGCGCCGGCAACCTCGAAGAAGAGGTTGCCCGCTACCCAGTCCTCTCCGTCGGGTACCAGAGGGGGCTGTGGCTCCGGACGACGCGCAGCCAACACGCGCAGCGCAGGTGTGGCGGGAGCCGCGATCTCGAGCAGCAGGCGCGGTGGCTGGCGCCAGCCCGGTGGCGGAGCCGCGAGTTCCCTGCAGGTGCGGCCGGGCGCGTGTTGAGAAGAGGCAGGACAGCAGGTGTTGTGACGTGGGACCACAAGCGAGGGGGGGGGGGCGGGGGGGGGTTGATAGGGAGCTTGAAAGGGAGGGGGCAAGAGAAGTGGCGGGCGGACCGCAAGTGAGAGCAGCCTCAGGGGGAAAAGGGGGCAGCCCGCGGGGATTCCCAAACAGGGACCGCGCGGACGGGGAGACGCGCGGCAGCGCGAAGCGTGTCTGGTGGCTCAGGCGGGGGGGGAGAGGGGGGAGGGGGAGGGAGCGCGGCGGCACCCTGCGCTGTCACGGCCGCCGCCGCCGGGCACCGAGGTGCTAGCCGCCCTCGCGACCAACCGCAAGACCGGCTTGCGGCGGCCCGCCGCACCGGTGACCCCTCGCCTGCGAGTCGACGCAGCAGGTGGGAGAGGGCGGGAGGGAGAGAAGCCAGGCAAACCACTCGGCGGGGAAAAGGGGGCAGCCCGCGGGGATTCCCAACCAGGGACCGCGCGGACGGGGAGAGAGCAGCATGTGCGGCGGCGCGTGTCCTTCGGGCGCGGGAGCGGGGAGGGGAAAGGGGCGAGAAGGGAAGGGCTGTGGCGGGCGCGTTTCGCATCTCTGGGGGCGCGGGAAGCGCGGGTGGGAAGTGAGCGAATC